CTGTGGTATTAAAATGTATGAATGGCAACAAATATGTTTTATTAGAGTTGCCAAAAAGTGTCAGTACTAATAACATTTTATTGTTTTATTAGAGTCGCCAAAAAGTCGCGAGTTCGCAAAAAAGTTGCCAGTTAGCAATATAGGCACTCTTATTTGCACCGCAATGATTGTATAAAAGTGGCGTGTGGTGTTAAAATGTATCAATGGCAACAAATATGTTTTATTAGAGTCGCTAAAAAGTCGCGAGGTAGCAAAAAAGTTGCCATTTAGCAATATAGGCTCTCTTATTACTATAAACAAGACACAGTTTTTTTCACCATGTTTTTTTAAATATTTTGGGAACAGGGCGGTATTATAACGTTTTTTAAATTTTTTAAAATAATTTTATTCTCGCTTATATAGCTATAAAGTATTGTATTATAATAACACAGTGCAAAAGGAAATGGTTTGAAACCAATGAAATTTAATAGCTTCTACAACAAAACCCTGTCAGGGTTTTTTGGATCACGCCTCAGTTGTTTATTATACATATTTAGAGTTGGTACCAAAAAGTTTTGTAAAATTTTATAAATCCATGTTAATTTTTCAAAATTATTTTAACAATATGGTCGAGGAATCCATTTATGTTAATTTTTACCTAAGACCTACAGTAGAGGAGGGCGCGCCCTCGCGGTGTCATACAATTTTTGCTATAGAAAGTATACTTTTTACGTATTTTTATTGTTACAATTTTTTTTATTTTTGATCAAATCGTTAATAACTTTTTACTTTTTTTATGAAAAAGCTATAGCAAGAAAAGTAAATTCGGGAGTTAATTATAATTACTCTACAGGGTGTTAATTAAGTATATGTTCAAACTTCATCAGGCTAATTCTTTAGATGATTTTAAGATGAAAAATCAATGTAAATATGGGTTAGGATTCCTAAGATTCCTAATTTAGGAAATGTGCTTAGTTTCAAGATACAGAGGGTGTTAAAAAAAATTTCTATCTTAAATATATCTTGAATATACTTTACTCAATTTTGATGAAATTTGTTGGCGTTATTTGTTTAGTAAAGGGCTAATTTATTGTTGAGCACTTTCGTTATTATACAGTTTAGCGGAAGTTAAGTGGTACTTTATCTCGAGATAAAGTACCACTTTACCTCTTTAAGCTTCCTTTTTTTTACCTCTTAAAACTTTTTTCATGTTTTTTTTTAATGTTTTTCTGGTCCACCCAATATTTTTTGCCTATTTTTGAAGCCATTAAACAGAAAAAAGTTTGAGAGTATTTTAAAAATTAAAAATTTTCTAAAAATATTCGAGTGCGAAAAGAAATTTCACAAACTCCGACCCTGTGACAATATGTATCATTAGCCTACACAAAATATTTTATAAAGATTGCCTAGTAATTTAAATTGTTTTATAATGGTTGCGCCCAAAAGTAAATTATTTTATAGAAAAACGCCATTTTAAAATGGGTGTACCCCAAGGTATCGAAATAAGTTGAATTTAAAATACTAAATATCACACGTATAATAACACTTGCAGAAGGTAAAATACATAAAAATTATTATTAGTTACCTCTACAACCAATCGGTTTAAGTTTTTCTGTATAAAATTATCATGGCGAGGAAGCTAGTTTTTTTGTTATTTAAAAAAAAATCCTAAAACACTTGAAAATACGGGGCGCACTTAAATTTTGTTAGAAATATGCTATATATTTCTCAATAAAATTTCCCTGGTATCAAAAATGTCTATCCCTGTAGCACAAATAAATTTTCCAAATAATAGATATAGTGTTTAAGGTATTATTAAAATGGCTTCTTTGCTAATGGCCTCGGCCTCAATTGCAGCATTCAGAACATCTTTAAAAAACCTTTTTATTTTGTTACTGTAATTCCAATATGCATTTTTATTTTATATTGTTTTCATGAAGCTATTATAAAATTGTATAGTTGTTTTATAGAAATGTTTATACTTTTTTAAAGTATATTTTATAGCGCAGTATAAAAAGCTTTAACAAAACTGTTTTATAATGCTTTTGTAAAGTTTTTATAAGACTTGCCGAAATGTTTATAAAATAATTTTATTATGTTACCAAAAGCTTTTACAAAATACTAACCAAAACTGAAATGTTTTATAAAGTGGTGCCAATTTTACATTTATAGCTATCTTATAAACATTTTAAAAACGTTTCTGAGAGTTATGTTTGTTTTATAATTTTTGTGTAGGAAGCGTTTTGGCAAGTATTATAAAATATAAAAATGCTAGTTGGGACTGACATCAAACGACCTTAGTGTGTATCGGTTTTGACTAAATGTGTTAAAGCTTTTTTCTACATATAGCTACAACTATCTACCAACACTCTTGCAAAAATAAATAAATAAAAAGTTTTGAAGACAAACAGGATTGTACTTGAAACAAATGTCAATATTTTTCAATAACGGATAATTTTTGAAACGCCTATACGCTGCAATAGGCAACCACAAACTAAAACTTCTCACAGAATATTCTGTGCTTCTGTCACTATTGCACTGATCAAGCATCGAAACTTTAAATAAGGCTCATCCCACCCTCCTCCAAGGCATTTCAATGAGTAGAAAAATGTTTAAAAATGGGTGTACTTCCCGTTGCCATAATATGGCTACACACGGGGGAAATGGGTTATTTTGCACAAAATATAAATAGTAACTATACAACTACGTACGTAAATTGTACATGTACAATTCATATAGCATTCGTGATACAAAATTAAACAGTATTTTAGATTTAATTTAATACATACGCGTATATTAAGGGTAAGGCAAAAATAACTAAGCAAATTGTTGTCTTGGTAATTGTAATTACAAAATAAATTATGATAGGTAATATCTACTTTTTTTAAGTTATTTAAAAATGGTGTTACGTTAGTTGCGATTTTTTTAGAATATCTATTAAGATATTCTTTAATAGTAGATAAACAAATTATATACCTACTAATTATTATAATACATCATTCGTGATTATATTTTATATTTCTGTTAAATAATGGGTAAAGTTGTCAAAAACTAATGTATTCATTGGTACTGCATGAATACCTCTCGCCTCTATACCACAATTCATCACCCTATACATGGTTTGGTTCACGCCAAAATAAGCAAGTACCTACAAATAGCTAAGTCTGCAAAATATCATGCAATTATCAACAAAAGTAATCAATGATAACAAAGTACTACCCGATTTTGAATAGGTTTAAAGCTTACCAGAAATCAGATTAATGCGTCAGCGCACTGCTTTTATAAAAGCAGTATGCTGACGACATTTAGGTAAACGAAACCCGAGGGGTAAACCACTGATTTTTTAAAATTAAAATTCGCTTACGAATTACCGGCTAAGGATAACAATAACAAGGGTAGTCATGCACAACGCGTCGCTAAGCACTGATTAAGCAAGTTTTTCATATTGATAACGATTCGAGTATAACCACCCAGGAAAAAATCACAACAAAACGTCCACTAACATTGAACGTTGGTCTCTAAGATTTTTAAGTGGTTTACCCCTAGACGAAACCTTTACCAACAAATAAATAATCAAAAAATTGTGCAAATTTTTATGATTTTAAAAAAAATAGTAGCTCTAATGCAAAAGTTATAAAGGAAGAACTTGCTTACTTTGGCGAAAACTATTATCTTCACAAGAGATGACAACTAATTATATGACATACTGCATGAGTAAGGGAATATACGAGCCCTTGGCATACATGTACAAAGTCGCGCCTAGCAAGTAGCTCTTTAGGGCACAGGTCCTTTAAATTGTGCCCCTGGTTAATTTTCGCATAGCCAGCGACTTGATGAATTTTTTAACTAAAAAGGCCATTTTGGATAAATACAAACAACATAATTGCGTAATGATGGGCAATTTGTATGCTTTAAATGTATTGTTCACACCTTGCACTCCAGTAATGCTATTGAGCGTCACCAGACAGTGCGCGCGTTGCGAAACCCCTATGCTTCTTTAGCGTATACTAACAATAATGTTTTTTATAACAAAACTGTTATATAGTTATATATAATTATGCACCAAAGATCAGAAGATTGACCAAGTGGTATAAAAATTTTAAAAATGTTTTATAAACATACTAACTACATAATCTGAAATAAACAGGCTTTTTTATTTTTCACTGTGCCGAAACGTATGTATTAATATGTGTCAAAAGTTATTTTATATAATCTGTCGCGCCTAGCAAGTAGCTCTTTAGGCACAGGTCCTTTAAATTGTGCCCCTGGTTAATTTTCGCATAGCCAGCGACTTGATGAATTTTATAAATATTTTTTTAACTAAAAAGGCCATTTTAGATAAATACAAACAACATAATTGTAATCATTCCCAAAGTATTAAGCGAAATTTTGATATATTAACAGTTAATTTATCTACTTTTGCTTATGCTTTATCTACTCCTTGCATTCAACTTAACCAGTTTTTAGACACAAATTAATATTTATTTCGCCATATTCATTAAACATTATTCAACTCACGATATGTTAATAGTTAACAACAAATATTTCTTTTTCTCAGTGCAGTACGGCAACAATTGTCTCTCAACATAATTTATAATTATAAATAATTCAATATTATAATAATTATTATTATAATTTACACGATTTTACAAGCGTTATTTAAATTAAAACCAGCCTAGGCACAGGGAACAAGTAGATGGCAAAAATATTGAAGCTGGAGCCCTTTGCAGGTTCACTTTTTTGTAAGTAGCTCAGTATCCGCCAAACAAGTTCCGTCGCATCATTTTACGTTTTTCTTGCTCTCTTGCTGTTAAAAATGTACACACGGTTTTTTTGTAGAATCATATCAAAAAAGAAAACAGATCTTGATTATTACGATTCAGATATCCATGACTTGTCTCTAAACGTTTTTTTGCATAAATTTGCTTTGCTACTGACAAAGAGCTGACAAAGAACGTACCTATTATGCAAATATCAAACCTGCATCCAAATATAAATAATTATTATTTTTTTCCTTTTAGGGCTCTGCTTGGCCATCTATGCATAATATGGCAGCTAGATGGATACCACCAAATGAAAGGAGTTCATTTATTACTTCTTATTTAGGTAAAACAAATATAGTATTTATTTCTGAATTATTTGGGGTACTTTATGCAACACTAAAAATATTAAGTTTAACCCTAGGTTAGTCGCGTGACTTTTACATAGAAGGTCGCGTGGGTTACAATTGTCAACCACTTTAATAAAACTGTTTATGTGCAAACATATTTATTGTAAAGAAGAAATAGGGTTTAATATTAGAACAACAACTTATTACACTAAATTAAAGCACTTTGTTCACCACAATGTGGTGTAAACACAACTCTAACTTCAAAATTAAAAAAAAGAGAAGTTTGTGTTATTCGTCGTCTTTTTCCATACAACTTAAGCAAATTTCTTTAAGGCAAGCCCAATTCTGACATTTTACACATCACTTTCTAGTTGTCTTGTAACTTACTCATCAACACTAAAATTCAACCGGTGGAAATATCAAAAAATTACAAATCACAAATAGTCGCGCAAGGGAGTGTCACCCAGCACAGATTAACCAACGATAACACCACTCTTATCGCTACAAATATACTGAAATTTTATTTTCGTAGTCTTTGCTTAATAGCCGAGAGTTACTAAGAGCGTTGTTGCAGAATTTACTCAGTTATTGGAGATATAACTTATTTTTTCATAGTGGGTGACATGTCCCCTGCGCGACTAACCTAGAGAATTATAATACCCTAAAGAAGTATCGGTACTGGCGCCACCACATGGCCGTTATCATCGTAACAAAAGGGCAGGATTTAATAAGCAGCTGTCAAACGTGAAGGTATATTACAAACGAGTGTTTTTGAGAATAAGCCCGGAAAATGTTAAAAATTTTGTAAAAAACAACGTGGAACGATTTATTTTCGGGAGGAAATCCGGAGTTAAGTTTTAACCGAAACAGTGGGAATTCGAATGAAGATATAAATTGCATACAGTCCCAGCAAAATATCAATTAAATTTAATAAATACACATTTTATTAATGATTGACGAAAAAATTGGAAACATTTAAATTTAGTAAAAATCTCAAAACAAATAAGTCGTCTAAATGCAAACAACGACTACTGAATTATGAATTAGTAAAAGAGTTAATTGAGAAAGTCTTTACTCAATGATAAAAGACCACAAACGGGTATTATATATAATATCATGTTGCCATAAATCCGTGGATACATTTTGAGTTTTACTATTTTAAAATGAGAGAGGACTCAATTATAAAAATGTTTGATTTTATGGTAATTTTTCTGTAACTATTACTTTTTGTTAGATTTCTTGAAAATGTCCGATCTTAAATATAAATTATATTAGGTAAAGTTATCATTAGTTAATTCTGCACCAAAAAATATACGTACCTAATGGGATCCTTTGTCAAAACATGAAAATGTAACTTCGAATTAGTTCTTGAATTACATTTACAATTAAAAACACAATTATTTACTATAATCACTTGGATAAAAAACACACAAACTATATAAGCACAAAAATAATAATAAATCGAAATAACGTGCGTGGTTAAGCTGTGCAATTTCAAATTTGCGAACAAAATTTGTCAAGTAAGACTTCTGCCTTCCTCTCTTCTGTGAAAAACTACTTATTTATTTTATAAAAATTATGCGCAATTTGTATGCTTTAAATGTATTGTTCACACCTTGCACTCCAGTTATGCTATTGAGCGTCACCAGACAGTGCGCGCGTTGCCAAACCCCTATGCTTCTTTAGCGTATACTAACAATATTGTTTTTTTATAACAAAACTATTATATAGTTATATATAATTATGCACCAACGATCAGAAGATTGACCAGGTGGTATAAAAATTTTAAAAATGTTTTATAAACATACTAACTACATAATCTGAAATAAACAGGCTTTTTTTATTTTTCACTGTGCCAAAACGTATGTATTAATATGTGTCAAAAGTTATTTTATATAATCTTTCGCGCCTAGCAAGTAGCTCTTTAGGGCACAGGTCCTTTAAATTGTGCCCCTGGTTAATTTTCGCATACAAACAACATAATTGTAATCATTCCCAAAGTATTAAGCGAAATTTTGATATATTAACAGTTAATTTATCTACTTTTGCTTATGCTTTATCTACTCCTTGCATTCAACTTAACCAGTTTTTAGACACAAATTAATATTTATTTCGCCATATTCATTAAACATTATTCAACTCACGATATGTTAATAGTTAACAACAAATATTTCTTTTTCTCAGTGCAGTACGGCAACAATTGTCTCTCAACATAATTTATAATTATAAATAATTCAATATTATAATAATTATTATTATAATTTACACGATTTTACAAGCGTTATTTAAATTAAAACCACGTTGCGTTGCCAAACCCCTATGCTTCTTTAGCGTATACTAACAATATTGTTTTTTTATAACAAAACTGTTATATAGTTATATATAATTATGCACCAACGATCAGAAGATTGACCGGGTGGTATTATAATTTTAAAAATGTTTTATAAACATACTAACTACATAATCTGAAATAAACTGGCTTTTTTTTATTTATCACTGTGCCAAAACGTATGTATTACTATGTGTCAAAAGTTATTTTATATAATCTGATAAACATTCTTTTAATTGTTACTTGCCTATTTCCTTTCTAAAGTTCAGTTTAATATCTCTTGGGAAAGTTATCGGAAATTTAGTTTTTCATATACACCAAAAAATAAAATTGATTAAAACAAAATTAAACTTTTTGATATGCAGGGTTAACTTAATAAAATTTTATTATACTTATTCAATAACTTACTAAAGTTTTCAACTGATTTTATTCAGGAAGTCAGGAACAAGTTTCAATCTATATGAAAATGTATTCTTTGTTTTAAAAATCAATACTTTAAAACTAATAGGTACTCTCCTTTTCTTAAAAATATATGATTACATAAGATTTATAATTTTTAGGGAGTTCGGTGGGTGCAGCTTTAACATACTTCATGTCTGGATTTATAATAGACAAATGGGGCTGGGAGGCAGCATTTTACATTTGCGGAGTTTTAGGAACTTTATGGTTTATATGTTGGTGGTCTCTAATTTACGATAGTCCTGCTGAACATCCTAGAATATCTCAATGGGAAAAAGACCATATCATAAATAGTATAGGAGACAGCTACTTAAAAAATAAGGTAAAATAATCGTTTCTAGAATTGAGGGCCCGAAAAGCATAACTAACTTATGGTCTAATTCTGGGTAACCTGTAAGCAAATATATATATACATATATGTAAATAAACAAAGCTTGTAATATAATTGGGTAAACAATTTAGAAACATATAGAAAAGTTACATATTTGCTTACAGGTTACCCAGAATTGGACCATTAGAGCTCGGATAGTAGGCAAAATAAGGGGCGAATTTAAGGGGAGAAGTTGAAAATTAAAATTACTTAAAATAAAATTTTAAAAAATTATCAATTTTTTTACTCGCCATCATGTTTTTTTCCCCTATTTTTATTAGTTTCCTAGATAAAAAATAAAAACGAAAAAAATTGGAATCAACAATAGTATATTACACTACAAGGGCAGAAAGTGTGAGATTCCTGCACTGCGCGCCATGATGCCCGAGGCGAAGCCGAGGGCATCATGGCGCGAAGTTCAGGGCTCTCACACTTTCTGCCCGTGTAGTGTATACTATTTTTCTTGCTACCCCGCAGAAAATACGGGAAAAAATTAAATGTATATAAAAAAACTTGTGTCAAAATTAAAATCTGACGTTTAATTTAATTCTGACGTTTACATTCAAAATCAATCAAACTGTAGCGTTGTCATGGTAATTCAGCGGTGCCAATACAGTAAAAATAAAAGGTTGTATTTTAATTAACAAATTACTACTTTATAACAAATAAAAGTACCATTAAACACTTAAAACAACATAAAAAGTAAAAAAGTAAAAACATAAATTGTTTATTTGTTGTTATAATTGCAAAATTATGGTTTAAAACTGTCATATTTTTGTGTTTCTCATGTTGGCAGTACGAAATTTGAATGTTAAGCACACGACTAAAAAATTTTTACTCCCGCTATTAGAGTGTGCGCGTATAGCTTGACCAATGCAAGAAACGTAAACTTTCTGCCGTGAAATCGGGGACGAAACAACGTATTTTGAGTCGAGGTAGTAAGAAAAAATATTTTTTTTTAAACTTAACTTTTATTAACTGTAAATTAACTAGCAAATGTTATATTCCTTTGGCTTTATTGATGCCATCCATATAAAAAAATATATTATTGTCCACGGTCACAAATCATGCTGTAGTAACTTTTGCGTAAAAAACTGATCGACAAAGTTTCACTCTTTTTATGGCATAATGATATTTTTATAAAGTTTTTACATTGATTAATGAATAATTATAGCCGTGGTGTATATATAAATATATTCATATATGAATAAACAAGTTCCCTGCGGTGGTAGATCAGAAAGTATGCTTAATTTGCATTGGGACTTAAAATATGGTTTAAAAGGGTATTTGTTACTTTATTTTAATAATAATTTTAAAAATAAATTTTTGTAATAAAAGTTTAAATATTTTTGAAATTTAATGATAAATTAAGACACTAAAAAGTATATATTAAAAAAAATAACAAATGTAAATATTTTAAAAACAGTGCATAGGCAATTTATTTAGACAAGTTAGATTGTTTATATATTGTAACGTTTTTTACTGTTCGTAGTGTGAATTAAAACACGCACTGGTTTATTAACGAACTAAACTATTTATTTTATAACTTAACTACACTTAAAACACTAACTAAACTTAACTACTAATTATTTATATATCACTACTGTACTAGAGTCTATTTATTTGCACGTATATTTATTTATTTCGACGCGAGTACCAAAACTGGACTGACTGCCGTGTGCTGCTCCGTTTCTTATATATTCAGCGCCAAGGTCTTCTGGAACATTCCAGCGAGCTCCACACTCTCGATTATTCGAGCGCTGAGTCACCGGCGATGACTCACCGGCAATGACTAATCGGCGATGAGTCATCACTCCGATATCCAGGGCGGTACTCGCTACATTGCCCCCGTCTTAAAACATTTTCGTCCCGAAAATGGTCCTCAGCTCCATGGCGATATTTGCATAGAGATCCAAACTTGCATTGTGACGTCCTATAGAAGTAGCAGTCTACGGTCTTCATTCCGGTTGTTCTTTTAGGGTTGTGGCAACAGACAAGAATGTGTATGCCACTAAATCTGAAGATAACTTCCACCATACTTCTAATTATTCTCCAGTCTAAACCGTCAAGTCCACAAGCAATCTTCGGTATCGCCAGGTTCATGATGTCCTTGGATAAAAGGGCATCCCTCAATTTATTTAAGGCATTCCATACGTCCCGGTAGTTTGGCTTCTGATAGGAGAGCTGCTTCGTTACCAGATAGAAGATACTTCTATTGCCTATCTGCTCATTATTCACAATTTCAAGCACCTCTCCAACTTTGGGATTCTGCCTTCGTAGCTCGTCGATCCGTCCAAACTTGTTTTTAAAAACAACCGCTATTCCCCTGGACATCCTTAGGTCTTCCGCAACACAGTGAGCCAGGGAGTAATCGGCCGAAACCGTGAACAGATCTCTTTGCTCTTCTCGAGTGACACCATACCGAGCTTTTTTACCGCTCGAATATAAATACATGAAGTCTTCAAAAGGCAAGTCGTTTTCCGGCGGATTAACTCTCCTTACTCTAGCATCGTCTATTTGATCATTGTTTCCAAGGTAAGGGGCCAATCGGTTGAAATGGATCACTTTCGGCTTTCCTCTTGGTTGTTTCCTGATCCTGTAGATGATGTCATTTATTCGATCCATGACTTCGTACGGTCCCTCCCAAGAAGTCTGCAGCTTCGGTGAATAACCACGACGGCGCTGAGGGTTGTATAACCAAACTAGGTCTCCAGGTTGAAATCCTCCATTTTCCGCCTTGATGTCGTATGCCTCTTTCATTCTATCACTGGCACTCTGGATGTTTAAACGGACTCGGCTGTGAATGTCGCTCATTTTCCTACGTAAATTGTTGACGTAATCTTCTCCAGCAATATCATCCCCTGGTAGGCAACCAAATCTCAGGTCACAAGGTAGACGAAGTTCACGTCCCATAACAATGCTAGCGGATGTCTGGCCGGTTGTATCGTGGATAGAAGAACGGTACGCCAACAGGAACAGATGGAGGAAGCGGTCCCAGTATCTTTGGTGATCAGAGACTACCTTCGAAAGGTACCTGTTTATCGTTCGATTCATTCGTTCCACCATTCCATCAGACTGCGGATGTAATGCGGTCGTCCTCGTCTTCCGAATGTTAAGAATCTTACACACATTCTGGAACAATATAGATTCAAAGTTCCTGCCTTGGTCTGAATGCATTTCCATTGGGACACCAAAACGACAAATCCACTCCTTAATAAGGGCATCGGCCACTGTGGCAGCTTCCTGGTTTGGCAAGGCGTACGCTTCCGCCCACTTGCTAAAGTAGTCCATTACAACGATGATGTATTTATTTCCAGATTCTGTTTCCGGAAATGGACCCGCCACGTCGATTGCAATTCTCTCAAATGGGCTGCCCACATTGTACTGTCGCATTGGGGCTTTTGGGCGCTTCTGGGGTCCATTGCTTGCCGCGCAAACGGCGCACTTCTTGCACCATTCCTTCACATCTCGTTGGCTGTTGACCCAATAGAACCGTTCCCTAAGTCTTCCGATCGTCCTCGTCACCCCAAGATGTCCTCCAGTAGTTCCATCATGGATTTCCTGCAGCACTTCTGGTATCCTGTTTCTGGGGATAATTATCTGCTTTCGGTCTTCCACCCCTTCTGGAGTCTCCAGCACGCGCTTTAGAAGCCCTTCACTTAAGATGATGGAATTCCATTGGGCCCAGTACGATTTCACATTCGGCGAATATTGGGCAACTTCTTGCCACGTTGGTTTACAGTTGTTCTTCTTCCAATCGATGATGAACTTCAAATCCGGGTCCCTTTCCTGGTCTTGTTGAATCTCAGTGGATTGCCAATGATCATCCACGATTGTAGTCCTACGAATACATACATCTTTTTCTTCAGTCCTATTTATTTTTCTAAATAAAGTCGGCGCCACCTGGCTTCCTCTGCAACGACTTTGTATATGTCCCAGCTTTCCACATCTCCAACACCGGATTTCCTTCTTTTCTGGTAGATTCTCTTTAAGAATTCGCCTGATTTCTTCGATTATTCTGGGTTCCTCCTCTTTCTCTTCCTCGACTCTCCTTATTCTAGGCTGGCTCCTGCAGCTCTGCTTTGCCGCCTCGAATTCCAAAGCTCGAGCCAATGCATCAACCAGTTGGCTCGGACGAGCCAGTGTTAAAGCCTGTCTTGTTTCGTTGTCTCGAAGTCCATCCAAAAAGGCTTGAACCGCTAATCGTTCCATAACGGTCGTTGGAGTAGCTGGATATGCTAGCCGAACCAAGCGTGCAATATCAGCCTCGAACTCTTGTAAAGTCTCGTTTGATTTCTGGCAGCGATTCTTCAGTTGGGAATGGTACACATGTTCCAGATGTGTCTGGACATATCGAAGTTCCAGATGTTTCACCAACGCTTCGTAATCTTCTTGTTCGTTGGGAGAAAGCGTCTGCAAGATGTCCGTTGCATCTCCGCGTAAAGCCAGAGTCAATGCTGTAGCCTTCTCTTCTGGTAGCCAGCCATTTGCTTTTGCTGCTGCCTCAAACTGACGGATGTAGTTGGTCCAAGAAGTTTTTCCATCGAACTGAGGTGGTTTCATCCGAACTCGGCTCCCCTCCGGCATTGTTCCTGGTTCCGCCAGCATCATGGGTAGATTTACAGCTGTCAGTTTACTATTTATTTCTTTAATTTTGACTTCCAATTTATCATCCAATTCCATCCTTACGTCATTCAATTCCATCCTTACGTCGTCAAATTTCTGCCCCATTTTCTCTTTCAATTCTTGGACATTATCTAGAATCTTCTGTTCCAAATATTCTTTTAAATTTTTAGAATTTTCCAGTATTTTCTGTTGTAAATCATCCTTTAAATTGTTGGAATTTTCCACCATTTTCTGTTGCAAGTCGACTTTTAATTCGCTAGAATTTTCTACCATTTTCTGTTGCAAATCATCCTTTAAATCTTTCAGTTCTTTAGAATTTTCTAGCATTTTCTGTTGCAACTCGTTAGAATTCTCCAAAATTCTCTGTTGTACATCGCTAGAATTTTCCAACATTTTCTGTTGCAACTCGTTGGAATTTTCTAGAATATTCTGTTGTAAATCGACTTTTAGATCTTTTAAATTTTGCAACATTAAATGCATGTCACAAGGGCCTTCAAATAAATACGTATCTGGATTTTCACCTTCCTGCTCCAACGCTTCTCGAAGCCGCTGCTGCAACACATTCTTTTTTCCATTTGTATCACATTCCCTTTCTTCCAGCTCCCGCTTAAGGTCCGCCACTTTTAAGTCCATTAACGAAACCATTTTCGCGAACTTTCACACTAACCGCACTCCTGACACCAATTGTAACGTTTTTTACTGTTCGTAGTGTGAATTAAAACACGCACTGGTTTATTAACGAACTAAACTATTTATTTTATAACTTAACTACACTTAAAACACTAACTAAACTTAACTGCTAATTATTTATATATCACTACTGTACTAGAGTCTATTTATTTGCACGTATATTTATTTATTTCGACGCGAGTACCAAAACTGGACTGACTGCCGTGTGCTGCTCCGTTTCTTATATATTCAGCGCCAAGGTCTTCTGGAACATTCCAGCGAGCTCCACACTCTCGATTATTCGAGCGCTGAGTCACCGGCGATGACTCACCGGCAATGACTAATCGGCGATGAGTCATCACTCCGATATCCAGGGCGGTACTCGCTACAATATGTTATAACTTTTATAATTACGCTTCTGCCAGCAACCTGATTCGAACGATATGCGACAGCCAGAGAAAGGTGATTACGTGGTTCGTTAATATGATGTTCCTAGCAAAGTCATTTATCGATATGTTAACCTAAAAACTTGGCACCATACACTTGTTAAATACTTTTATTTTTTATATTTAACAAAAGAATGCAAACGGCTAGCTGTTATCACTGATAACTTATCAGTTTGGGCAGTGAGCAAAGATAAGGCAAATTTTGATAATTATTAGTGCGAGGGGTAAACCACTTAAAAATCAGCGTCATATGGAAATACATTGCTTTAAGAATCATACTTGGGAGAATTAGGTATACAAAAAAATAAAATACAGTGTTTTGTTTACCCAAATTTAATTTATTTTACAAACAGTTTATAAAAAAAAACAAGGGGTGGCTCTTAGGAAGATACGACCAGGGAAAAAGAGCTTGAGAAAAAACCCTGTTCGGCTATCTACCCCCTACAGGTTCAAAAATAGGAAAAACGTTGTTAGTTTAACAGGGCAGTTAACTGTTAGTCTGTCAACGTTAACGTTGCCCTGTGGAGAACGAGGTCCACACTGTAAGCAACTCGCGTAAAGATGAAGGTTCGGGATAAAGGTTGCGATGCCACCTAGAGAACCTAGATGACCAGTTATCTCTCACGGAGGGGAGCATTTTAGTATCTACTGCAAACTACGTGCTAAAGAAAAAGGAGCATTCAAAGTTTAAAATTAACGGTCCGAAACGTCCTGTATAACACTGATATTTGTTTTTAAAATTACCTCAAAAAATGCTTAATCGTGTTGGGGAAGGTCTAAACATTTGAGTTACAGGGACAGTGTACAACTAAATTAAGCCTTAGACAATAAAAGAAAGGAATATAAATTTTCACATTAAATTTTAACAAAAGGCAAAAACATTTTATAAAAATAGCTAAAACAAAAGGTGTTAATATCGGGTAAAATTTACTAAGGTAGTAGTGCAAAATAACTAATGATCAGTTTATTTAAATCTAAATCGTTCTACGTTTAGTGGACTTTACTACATAATTGGGCTACTAAAATTAAGAACTAACCTGGGAGAATACACAAACACTTGTAATAATTATTTAAACAGAACTTTACAATAATTTTCGTTTTAGTAAAAATGTATAAGAGCGATGTGTTCGATATAATTTTCAAACGCTTTCTGCCTGGGTTTTTTTCTCCTCTTTACTCGCTTCGTGTACCTGGACCATCGCTTCTTGCATCATCTGGACACCAGACCTTTAGGTTAAGTTTGAAAAACTTGTTATTTCTTTACCTAAATATCCCTTCTTACCTCTTTTGCAAAACTTTTTACATTTTACAACACAATTTAGAAATTCTAAACTTATTCTAAAATAAATTTGTAAAACGTATTAAAGTACTGAACCATTATAATACATAACTAAAAACTAAATATTAATAGTCCCAAAACATCTAGGTAGCGTCGATTTCCAATAGACCTAACGCCTTTCCAGTATCACACTTTGATTCCAACTGCCGACACTAAGCGGGCACGCTTTGTATTTCAAAACCCACATTTAGGAGATCCTACCTTTTAATTGGTTCGAATCTACCCATTTCGTGAAAGCTATATACACATTTCGTTCGTCGTAAAAATGTCATATTTAATTTCTTACGAAAATCTTACATAAATTGCGCTACGTAAACTGTTTCAATACATTGCAGCAAAAATAAATAAATATGTAGCAGATCTTCTACATGCATAACTTAATAATGTTAGCAAACACAATATCCCTTCCGCATTATGAAAGGGAGCTGGAGAGGTTTTATATCGAAACATTAGAATAGCCGGACAGATCTCCTGACCTTTCTTATTTGTTTTCTTCTTAAGGGACATTTAAAAATTAAGATTTATTCAACGGAACCAGGATCCCTTCAAAGGTTGAGATATATCATTAAACTGTAGGTAAATTTTCAACTCTTGAAATATCACAGCTAAACGCTCGGACACGTAGTCGTAGTCCAAATCCGTGCTCGGTTCAGCTGTAGGTATCAGAAAAAAATGAGAAAAAAAATTTTTGAATTTCCTAAATTATCTATAAAAAACTCTTAGGAACCCGTGTTACTTTTGATCAATTAACTTCAAATTTTGCAATAATTTGTTTTTTTTTAATTTGGAACTGATGTGTGGATCCAGCCAAATTAATTTTTTTTAATTCATACAGGGTGTTTAAATTTATACAGTTTTCAATATCTTTGAATTTTGACCTGATACAGCTAAACCAAGCACGGATTTGTAATCCACGACCAAAAATTAACTTTACGTGTCCGAGCGTTTAGCTGATATATTTTCACCTCCCTACAGTGTTATAGATGGGATAACTTAAAGTAATAGTATGTTTATGTTTATGAAATCAGGTATAACTTGACCTATCATGTAATTTAAAATTTTTCAACCTTATTTTTATGTCGCAATGTCGATTTAGCAGCCCAAATTTTTCTCGGCCCCAAGGCTCAACTCTCTTTGTGGGAATTTCCTGGACATTTAATATTAACTCGGCCTCAGAGTTGTTTTATTTCATTGTTACATTGGGATTGGCGTGTCAAACTTAGACGTCTCGATTCTCATTCAAAATACTTCAATCCATCAAAAATGCATCCATCTATACTTAATCCAATCCTTCCTCTTTGCTTTCACAAAATAATATGTTTAAAAATATATAGGATAACATTCTAACGATGACCATAATGACCGGATGACGTTTAGCAATTACAAATTAAATGAAAAAACCACGAACTACAAAGATCTTTTCACGATACATAGCGCTAATAGTTTTAAACCAAACTAAATTAATAAAAGTAAAATATATATCGACCCAAACGCCACAATTTAAGGAATAAATATACTCACACAGTTTTAGCAGTAAAAGAAATTTGACGGTTTTAAGTGTTTCTCGATTTTTTATATCCAAAAATTCGACTTATTCATTTTATTTGACCTAAAGGATCATGAAATTAAATTTTGCCAGTTATTATTTGAACTAAAATACAAATGCCTATTATTAAAAGGGATTAAGTCAATAGGTTTTATCGTTTTATTACCAAACGATTCGTCATGCCCACTTTAGTAAGTAGAAATAGGTGTGTGTATGTTAAAAAAATTGACTAGAGCCCTTTTAATAATAAGCGATTTAATTACTATACTCGTAATGATATAGTTCTCAAAAAATAAGATTTTAGCCTCCTATTCCATGGATAGCAATTTTAACAAGCCTTCCAGTTATTATGAATATTATTGCCCAGTTTGGTGGTGCATGGGGACTTTTTGCTTTGTCGACATATGCTCCTACATATTTTAGACTTATACATGGAATGAGCATGAAAACTGTAAGTATAATGTATTTAAAATATATTGTTTTATAACTTTATTTGCTTTATAGACGGGACTGCTCTCAGGAATGCCTCATATATTTAGAATGATTTGGTCGTATATTACTTCGCAAATTGGAGACTACTTACTCAGAACAAACAAAATAAGTCGAACCAATGTTCGGAAACTTGGAACTGCATTGTGTAAGTTATATTAAAATAAATATAGTAAATATCAAGACTTTTACATAGTTTCATGTGGGTGGGATTGCTGCAGTTCAAACAAACCTATTTACTATTCAATAAATTTATTCTGCATAAAGAAATTTGCATTGATTTTGATTAAATCAATAAATAGATTATTTAACTTTTTATTTATACTTTAGTTAGAACTTAAGTACTTGGATAAATAATTATTATAATAGTTATTTATGTCATAAAACTAAAAAGTAAGTCTTTTTGTGCCAAACTCAAATTTCGACGCGTTAGCGGAGGCCTACAATTGAGCGAAGCACAAAAAACACGTCTCAGGCGAATGTTATTCAACATTTTATCTTTAAGGCACGGTTTTATTTGTTAAACGATAGGTACATAAAACGTGCTTACAATTATAATAACAATTATTAAAAGAATAAAGTTTAAAGTAAGGTTAGATAAACGGGTCTTTTACAGACTAGGATGTAAAAAAAACTTCACCTGATTGGTAAATTATTTGTACATATAATAGAATACTTTGGTAATGAGCGTTGACAATAAAGAAGCTTAAATTATAGAACGCCTGAAATTTTTTACCAATTTTACCAATTCTATAGAAATATATAAATATATTTAATAAAGAAATTACATTTAATATTGTGCGATTTCTATAAATGAATACAAAACTTTTAGTATGTAAATTTGTAATTTATCAGCCTATTTCAGATAGAAAATCGGAAGTAGAAGAATGTCAACTAATAATCTAAAAATTAAACAAAATCAAGCAGGACATTGTCAAAGGTTCAAAGTAACATGTTTATTTATAAGATACATTTGTAGCTTAGAAAAACTTATTTTGTATTTTTAAGCTTTAACTTTGATACCCGGTGATACCTTTATGAATAAACTTTTTTTTCAGGTATGCAAAAGTTCTATGGGCCATAAATGTTCATTAATAATAATAATAATATTAATAATAATAATAATATCGTTTATTTTCAAAAATTTGCACATAAAATTACAAGAGAACCTACAAGTCAAAAAATGTATTCAATGTAAAAACAAATCCTGAAAGGAGTATGGCTCCAGATCACAAAAATAGTTAAACAATTTCTTATTATAGCTTTATAAACCCTAAGTAGTCCCTGCTTTATTTTTTAATGACCATCGGATTAATATCACGACTTTGCCATCATAGGCAACAGCGTTTTTTATGATGGCAAACCCTGCTAGAATCTAATGTTTATATAGAAAATGTTTATTATAGTAAAACTAATAAAAAAACTTAATGAAAAAATAAACAATTTTTTTTTTTGGAAAAAGAAACATAATTACCATCAGGGCCGGATTAAAAGTTTTGAGGCCCTGGGGCCGAATTTGGAGGGGGCCCTCAATAGAAAAATTTTCGACACTTGGGAAATTAAAACTCATGTTAAATTTTTAAGCTACAGGAACTCTACGTTATTATTATCCTTGAATCATTAAACCATATCAATTTTAATAAAATCGGAGAAAGCGTTTTTAAGCTATAAATAAAAAACTCATTTTTTTTTAAACGAAACACCCTGTATCTCAATAATGAAGCATTTTCGGACACGAGTTTATAGCAACTTTTTTATATATTTTGATGAGAGAAATTTCCCCTGAGCTTTTGTCACCACAAGTCTGAATCACCCTGTATATTTTGAATAATACGAACATAACTTTATATACATTGTAAGCGTACACACCTCCCCCCCAGCAAAGAATTTGTAAAAGTTACACCCTGTGATAAATGAAATATAACACCACGGCAAATGTTATATTAAATTACGACAAATAAATAAAATAAATACTTACGGTAATAAAGCTCATTAATTTAGTAACCCAAGGTACTTTTGAGGTGTTGTATTAATGGGGAATGTATTAAAAGGGAAATAATACATACAGTAAATAAAAGGCAATAAGTTACGTTTGAACTCAGGTCAAAAACCCGGAAGGCTCCCGTTTATTTTTTATTTAAATATCGCTCATAAAACCTTACAAAATGAGGGATTATGGGAGTGAGTTACACGTATAAAATATTTAAAATTTATAACACACAATGATATTTATTTGGATAGAGCAACAAAAATAACCGCAAAGTAAGAGACATCCTACAAACCGTTAAAACCACACATTATCTCCTTACTGCGACCACAACCCAAATAAATATATAAATACCATTTGATAAATAATACATCATTCTAGAGCTTTGCTGTCGTATGTGTTTCTCGTTTTCATTTTAATTTGTTTGTTTGTTTGTTTGTTTGTTGGGTGAAAGTAGATTGAGTCTTAGTCTCCATTTTGTATTTTAAATTTAACTTTATTCATCAAGCATTCCGTCTGCAATAGGCCTTCATCATCCAAATAAAGTTTTTGTATAATTATTTACTGTTGAATTTATGTTTACCATTACATAATTTTTTTATGTAATATTTATTAGAGTTCAGGCTCAATCAACTGTTGGAAATGGAGTAAATAATTTATCAGGCTCAAGATCGCTTCAACTGAGGGTTCGCAATTGTCTATTTTGCCTCATTTGTCGGCAAACTTTAATAAATTAATAATTACCATAAAATACTAGGTAATCAAAATGACACAAATAACAAAAACAATATCTGCGTCGCACAGTCAGATGAAATCAAACCGGCTGGCACCTAATAAAATTTACAGGATAGTAATTTAAAATGGGCTTGTTGCTCCAGGACTCCACGGACAGTGGATAAATCAAATGTCGCTATCGTACAATCACTGTTGCTACTCACTTCAAATGTAATACCAAATAATTTAATATGACTGATAAAAATCACTTAAAAAATTTCGGGACATAAATATGAATCTGCGAGTACAATTTAATAAATCCCGTATTCAAGAAAATCGATATTAAATACACTTAATTTACACAGCGTTTATGTTAAATCCCCTTTTTGAAATATTTATTAAAATTAATTAAATAATCTCAAGTACAGTCCTGACATTTAGCTTAATAAAACTTAATACGGCCCTGCTCTTTTAATTTGATAAAATACCCGTAAAACAGTGTTCTTTTAATTAGATAAAATACCCGTAAAACCGTGCTCATTTAATTAGATAAAATCAAGTACCAATTGTTTATAACTTAGATTATAAATTATAATACGAAATACCTAGTTTAAACGTAAATTTATTTAGTTGATTACGGGCGTGGTTTATTTAAAACAGCAGCCATCATGGCGAAATAGATCGAACTATGACGCCAAGTCAAATGATCGAATATTCATCTTTACACAAGGTATTTGTGTAAACTAATTATACCAAAATGCTCGAGAATATTTATACTACAATAATTTAGTTATTTAAAATGTACAAACCTACAAATTTAAACATTTTTCTGCACACACAATTTTGCACCTCTAGTCGCTGGACACTCTTCTCGAATGTTTCCTTGTTCTTCCCTGCCCGTCTGACTACCGGCATTCTTCCCCTCTTCCTTTTCCCACCTAAACACGAGAGTCTTTCTACCCAATCGCACGGTACTCGTTACGTCAATTGCATTTCCGTCGCGCTAAATTTAAATGTTAGTTTTATTTACAAGGCTTTTTGAATACTTTTATTTTAAACAATTAGGATCGTTATAACCCACGGATTGTTTATTAGGGGGGTATTTGCAGATCTCCTCAACATATTATATTAATTTTGTATAAAATTTTCAAAAGCCCAGCACGTGCATGTTTTAAAAATGCAGTGCTAGATTTTAATTGGCATTGCTTGATTTTAAATCGCATTGCCAGATTTTAAGTAGCAGGGTCAGATTTTAAGTAGCAGTGTCAGATTTTAAGGAGCAGTGCCAAATTTAAAGTAGCAGTGTCAGATTTTAAGTAACATTGTCAGATTTTAAGTAGCAGTGACAGATTTTAAGTCGCATTGCCAGATTTTAAGTAGCGGGGTCAGATTTTAAGTTGCAGTGCCAGATTTTAAGTAGGAGTTCTAGATTTTAAGACGCACTGCCAGATTTTAAGTCACATGTCGTTTTCTTGTTACGCCACTGAATTACAGTCTTGCCTAGTAATATAAAATACATATGTATACATATGATATCTTTCTTTTTCCAATAAAGTAATTTTAATTTACATTTACAATAATTATTTATTATTATTTACAATTGTTATTAGCACAGCACAATACTTGTTCTAGAGTGTAAAATTTATAGATTTTAGGGCTGTGCAATTTAGCCGGTAAGCCGGCTTAAAAAGTTGGCTAAGTGAATTAGCTTAGCTAATTAGCTGGCGCCTTAACCGGTTAATCTAGCTTAGCTCAGCTAATTAGCTAACGGCTAACCGGCTAAACGGATATTTTTTTTAAGTTATATAATGATTTCTTATTCATGTTCATTTTCAAAAAATAATAATATTGATGATGCCTCTATGACAAACAATAATAGAGTAATTTATAAGGTTAAATAATATTTTACATTTCATTTTATTTATAAAAATGGCTTTTAAATCATTAAATAGCTTAAAAAAAATTTGTCGGTTAGCCGTTAGATAATTAGCTGAGCTAAGCTAGATTAACCGGTTAAGCCGCCAGCAGTTAACCGGTTAAATTAGATAAGATGATCACTGATCAGTGATCAGTTAGCTAGCTAATTAACTTAGCTAACTTTTTTAGCCGGTTAACCGGCTAAATTGTACAGCCCTAATAGATTTAGAGCCCGTGTTCAAATATTTTTTTGCAAAAACTAATTTTATACATTTTTTTTTAACGATACAAAATATTTAAAAACCGAAAATAACCTAAACCCGTTTTAAATTTAAAGAGTTCGGATTCGGTCGGGTTTTCTGTCCAAAAACGGTCCGGTCCGGGTCCCTGATCCAAAGTGGTTTTTTTTTATTTCAATTTACAACTGAATGAATTTCATATTTGAAACGGTCATAGTTCATAAAAACACTGCAATTTTTGATCATGCGCACGGCTATTTATCTGGCATGCACTGCAGTGCGACTTAAAAT